TCTCTCTCTCTCTCTCTCTCTCTCTCTCTCTCTCTCTCTCTTTCCCTCTCTCTCTCTCTCTCTCTTTCCCTCTCTCTCTCTCTCTCTCTCTTCCTCTCTCTCTCTCTCTCTCTCTCTCTCCTCTCTCTCTCTCTCTCTCTCCTCTTCCCTCTCCTCTCTTCTCTCTCCTTCCTTCCTTCCTTCCCTCCCTCCCTCTCCCCCTCCCCCCTCCCCCTCCCTCTCAAATACGCCTTCTCCACTAACGCACTTGGCCCATTGATGACCTCTGCTTTCCACCTGCAGGCTCGTGAGTTGGTTGAGGAGGGGCTGGAGATCCAGAGGGCGCGCGTGGCTCGTCTGGCGGACACTTGCAACAGCCACCCTGAACTGTTCATCCGCCAGTACGTGAGCCTCGTGTGGGACGCCTCCAGGTCACCTCCGCTTGTTTATTGTCCTATATATAAGGTGAGCATCTTTCAAGATTGGTGTGAGCAACGTGGATTTCAGATATCGAGGGAATCTGTTCTGAATACATTTGCCGAAGTTTTCCAAGTGGGGAAAAAAAAGGTCTGGAAAGCTTAGTTGAGAGCTCACCCAGATATTCAGCAATAATGAAATATTAGAATAAAGTAACGAATGTACAATATATAAAAGCTTTGACTCACCCAGGTTGCGTCGACCACGTGGATGGTCTATTTCCAACGCCTGGCACACGTGAATGATGACAACCGTGCCTTAGACAAGTACAAGAAAGCGGGAAAGGAAAGGAAGAAGTACATGGTATGCTGAAAGACCGTTTGGAGTTCAGTGCTGGAAACATATCATCAGTGTTTCCAGAGAAGACTTTTAATTAGAAAATGTTTTAAAATGTTTATACACTGGCGTTGGTGCAAAATGTATCATTTTGCCTGAGTCTGAAGGCGACGATTTCTTTCCAGCCTCGGTTTGGAGGAGGGCACCGGCGAGTATTTGAAGAATACAAAGCTCCAAGTTCATCCATCGAGAAGAATAGAGTGTTCCAGTCTTCCTTGCGATTTCTGGTTGTTCGCCATCCCTTTACCAGGTGAGAATAGAGCAACATTCTTGTATTAGTTGCAGCACACATCCGTGCCCTTACATTATTAACCCTTGGCATTGGGGTCCATACGTAAGCACGCTCATTAATCACACCCATACACAAAACGCCTATAATGAGACTGACCCAATACTCTCTTTTACAGATTGCTCTCAGCGTATAGGGACAAGATAGAACGGCCAAATCCCAAACCATTTGCACCGTATTTTAAGGACCTCCATCGTGCTATAATACTCAAGTACAGGCCGGCAGAGAGCAACATCACGTCAAATACACCAACTTTCCCAGAGTTTGTCGATTACATCATTGATTTCACAGCCAACCTGACAACGGCGCAGGAATGGGATGAAAATGTGAGTTTATATGAAAGCAAAAGTAAAATGTGAGATTTGTTGAGTTTTTTTTACCTTTTAGTACTTTCTATATACTATACTATATAGATTGTCATTACATCTTTTCAATCTTTTTTCTACATTTTAGTACTTTCTCTATACTCTAAATTAATATAGATTGTCATTACTATATCTTTTCAATCTATGAACCATAACCCGCTGCATTTTCCTTTTTCTTAAACTACAGGTTGTATGTTGGACGCCTTACTGGGTGCAGTGTGGTGTGTGCTCCTCAGATTACCAAGTGGTCATCAAACTCGAGACAATGACGGAAGACGAGCAGTTCCTCGCCCAAATCGCAGACTTGAAAGAAATCCAAAATGTGTTTGAATGGAGGAATCACAAGAAATTTTCCAAGTCATCAAAGGAAGTATTACCTGTCTATTATAAAAGTCTTACCAAGAAACAGATACTTTTGTTATACGAACGATTTAAAATGGACTTTGAGTTGTTTGGATACACAGTAGAAGAGTACTTAGACTACAGTGATCAAAAATAGAATGTGCTTTTTGTAAAATAGCATAGTTAGAAAATCCCATATCAGATTAATCGAATACATTAACTTCCGGTTAACATCATCATTTGGTAGCATAATCACGAAACTTGTTCAGCCAAATCGAAATTTTCATCACTAAATATATTAGTTATTTCATCACTCTTCCTGGTGGTGTATTTCAATCACATTTGTCAATTTCTATTTTGGAAATAGAAATTCTATATTACCACATTTTCATATAATGACAAATAGGTTGCTTTATTTCTTTAAGGCAGAACTTCTCATTTGAATGTTTAATCCATATTTTTTTTTACATTTGCTACTTCCTACTCTCTCTCTGAGCATTCCTTCTCAATATTTTGAAAATAACTTTGACACCAGGAACATGAAACAAAAATGATATATAACCAAGATAATTCTACAAATCAACCCACTTTAGTACAGTCTCGTAAATGCTAGAGCCAGGGACAGTGACTGACCTTTTTTTTTTTTCTTTTTTTCTTACAAACATATCCTAATTAATTTAAAAACCATCTCATTTCATTATTTTTTTCTATTTTCATCATACACATCTCAGGGAAAATCATGTCCCTCTCAACTGTCATCTCATTTTTCTTATTTATTAAACTTATTATTGCCATATGTAACTCAAAGATCACACCAGTATGTGCTCAAATGATCTCGCACAAAATAAAACTGTCTCTGCATCTGTATTTGTTTTATTTTTTAGTAATACTCTATATATAATTATATATATATATATATATATATATATATATATATATATATATATATATATATATATATATATATGCATGCTTCTGAACTTGGCATCAAGCTGATATTTAAATTTGCCTGCTGTATCGACACCTACTTCAACCCCCACCCCCACCCCCCACCCCTTGCCGTTGTTGTCGTGGGGGCTTGGGAGATGGGGACTAAGGCCCAATGTAGGGGATCACCCCCACCTTCGTCCTCAGCCCTCATCTCAACTAACTTTGCATGGTTCTTCTCCTCCTTTCTCTTTCCTTTTCTTCATCCCCTTGTTCTGTCCACTTGTCCTAATCGTTAACTCATTTTTGGCATTTTCTCCACAATACTTTGCCATAACCCTCCCTACTCCCTTGACTCCTTCTCCTCCTCCTCTTCCTCCTTGTTCTTGTTCTTGTTCTAACCACCTTTGCCTTATGCTATACCCCATCAGCCCCCCCTCTCCACCGTCATACTACCCTCTAAAACTGTTCAACCTGTTAACTTTACCCTAATCATTAACTCATACCTAATCCTTTTCGCTACTATACTTTCCCATAGCACCATACGACCTTTGATGTCATAAAGCACTTCCTTACCTGTGAGCTTTTTCCCAAGCTTCACACTATCCCTATATTTTGAATACACTGCTAATGACCTTGGATGTTGATGCAGCAGAAAATGATAAAAAGAACTGTTATTTCTCAGATCTCCCCACCCAACTCCAGAATCTCTTAAGACATCCAAAACTTACTAAATAAGACCCAAAAGACTGCTCCACTTCTTTATGTACCCTTCAGTCCCTCAATTCCTCACATGACCCAGCCACCCAATCCCTTGCTCGTGGGGGGGGGGGGGGTAGGAGAAGACGGAGGCCCGGTGTAGTCCTCACCTCAACCTTGGACCTTAGCCCCCGCCTCAACTAGTTTTACATCTTTTTTTCTTTTCCTTTTCCTTCTCCTCTTTATCCCCTTCTTCTGTTCATATACCCAAATCATTAACTTATATTTACCCTTTTAGCCACAGTACTTTACCATAATGTCTGCTACATTTGTTTTTGACCATTCACCTCATTCTGGAAAAACACAAACAGTGCTTTACAGAGCCAAAGATCTTTCTTATTGGGGGCTTTGCCCCCAAGCCCCACCCCATCATTATATTTTGTATACACCACTAATGACCTTAGATGATGGTGCAGCAGAAAATTTTCAATAAATAATAATTAAAAATTTCTTCCTCAGACCCATACTCTCCATTTGATCTTGCTATATACCCTCAACCCCATCCCCTTTTAACAAATCCCCCGTATTCAATCTGCTCTCCCTCTTTACCCTTTTGACTACCATACTATCCTAAAGTACTCTACAGCCATTTTGTCCTAATTGTGATTTTTTTTAACCCTTTTCACCACAATACTTTACTATGCTATGTGTGGCATATTTTAGTTTTGACCATAAACCATTCTGAGAATTCTTTGCCTTATGAACCAAAATACTTCCTTACTCAGGGGCTTTGCCCCCAAGCCCCACTGTATCACTATATTTTGAATACATCATTAATGACCTTAGATGCTGATGTGGCAGAAATTTTTCAAGAAAAAAAAAAAAAAAAAAAAAATATATATATATATATATATACATGAGTATCCTTATTCGACTATTTAATTTACTTCTGAAATCTGGAAAATATCACTTTTACCTGCATGAACCCCTTTATTCATGTCTACCTGCATGCCCATCGATCACACCCACTTGTATGGACTGGCCTTAACCCATTTGCGACGGGTATAAATGAACAAAAAATGGGGAAAATGCTGTGCTCATTTTTTATACTTTTTGTGAAATGTCTCTACACATAGATGGCTCTGCCTTACCTGATTTCATTTGGTGGGAAAATGTATTTTTTAGTAGTGCTATGAATATCGATGTTTATTTTCATTATAATTACTCTAATGTTATAAACATTAGTAACAGCAAAATAAGATAACGTAAAATATTTCGTAAATTAAAGAAAAGGGTAAACGGGCGAGCCAGGCAGTACTCGCCATCTATGTGTAAAAACAATTAAACAAGTAAACTCACAGTGGGCCTGTCACGTATACGTGACACCTGGTGCAAATGGGTTAAGGGGCAAAATACTGTTATTGCATTTAAAGCATTCTTGGCTTCTAACCTCTGAAAATCTGCATAAATTTGTCAAAAAGATGGGCTTTTTTTGGAGCAAGGGTTTTCATAAAGAATTTGTCTCCTGGACAAATTAAAAATACAAGTATCTTTTTAATAAGCACACAATAACTATACATCAAAAATGTTGCTGTTATACTTTTATTTATAAAGACAAAATATAAATACATCATACTTGAATACATTATAGTACGAAAATCCAGAGACGGGCAAAAAAACAGCCTGGCAATATCACTTATCACCAGCCAATTACAACTGAAGAGATGAGGAGAAAACCTGGAACTCAAGCATGAATGAGAAGGGACACCACCAAAGATGTCTTCAGATATGCATATTCTTGAAGGTATTGTGTTTTTTCCAGTAACAATACAACTGCATTTGCTGATACAAACTCACTAATTGGAATACAGAGAGAAACCAAAGAATACTCATCACTATCAATTCCAATTTGATATTTCACATTATTCTATATCACAAACGTTGGTTCTATTTACCTTTTTTGTACAGAAAAAAAGCCACTTCTACATATTTTATCATAAATATCTTTAGTGGATCCTGACTATCTGTAGGATCTTCTCACACTGAAAAACATTTATCATCCATAGGTGACAGGTCATGGTTTATGGAATCTCATGTTCTTTAATGTACCAAGAGAGACAAAAATAATGATAATAATGGAAAACAAAGAGAAAATGTATGCATTACCTGAATGTAAATGCAACAATATCTCCATGCTTTTCCAATTTTCTTTTTTATCTTTCTAATTCAGAATTCATGAAATCTCACAAATCAGCAATATACTTTATATTGTCAACAACTACAATCTTTAACTAGCATCTCAACAGGTACAAAATAGCTATATAATTTATATTTCAAAACAATCAGTAGATACAAGCCTCAACCATAACTTGACTTTCTGAAATACAGGAGAATACTGTATTTACAAATGGTGCAGTATGAAAAGTAGCAAGCATTTGTTTGCAAGAAAAGCTCAGACTGGTGCTTGAAGTTGCGACTATGGTTGCTGGAGGGCCTCTCGCCCGTCCAAAGTTTACCAAATTATACAGATATAAAAGCCACAGAGGTGTAGTCACGCAACAAAAGTACAGCATCTTTGCTTAGTTTCAATTTTGTATGGTCTCGATACTAAAGCAGGGGCAAAGAGAGTTTGTGTACAAACGCAAGAACTTCTGCCTGGTGGTATATTTTCATCCGAGGCTCAACCGGTGTGATTCAGAGGTCGAGTGATGTTATTGGGCGTCTGCATAAACTTGAGGAGCGTTTTCAACTCCTGAGGCAACCAGGTTATTTCCAGCTTCAGCTTCTGCACTTCCAGCAGGCATAAGGTTTTCAGGCTTGGTTCTGCAAGTCCGAGAAATGGTCAATGATGCGGGATTTCTCATGAAAATAAATGAATCTTTTTCACAAGACATTCAGCAGGTATCCAAATTAGACATCTATTGCAGAAGCATATAAACTTTTGAATCACTTTCTTTCACTGAAGTCTAACCTTAACCTATCATCATATTTCCATCACAAAAAAAATGTAGCCTTATACATTTTCAATCTTTAATTTTGTTTAACTATAGGTATGAAAGTCACACACAGATGGCTCCACAAGTCATCAGCAGTTAATTACTAGGCCAACTTAGTCTCATCTGTCCATCCTTTTCTTTGATTTTTAGGAGGAAAAAATCATTTACAATCATAACGTCAATATTAATATCAGTCATGATATTAGTATCTTTCCCAAAACTCATTGAATGGGATTATCAGATGTGGACCGGTAAGCCTACTAAGCTTTTGTGGAACCATGTATGTGTAACAAAATTCATAAAACAAAACTACAGTAGACAGTTCATATAAATAACAACTGGTTTAATTTAAATGGTCAATGTAAATGAATAATAGATTATCACTGAATAATCAATCTAAAGTATCCTAATAGTGTCCCTATTTATATATATATAAAGATAGTAATAAAGAAATAAATAAAGAAAGAAAGAAAGAAAGAAACATTCACGTAACACACTTTTTTCCCAACATACCAGCCCTCTGAGGAAATAATACATAACTGAAGAAACCTTTTCTACTGAATCAGAATTCTACTAAAAGTACAATGACCTGAATATCCACTAAGGTTTTGCATCATTGTGCATGGGTAACTAGAAGTATTCATCATCAACTACTTTAGTAGAAACTCAATGCTATTTGAAGTTGTATGATAAGGACAAAACATTTATATTAATAAACCTGAAACTCCTAAAACTGAATGAATAATGTAGAACTGTAAATCCCCACTTACTTACTGGATGTCAGGAATAAAGCTGTAAATATCTTTTTCATCAGTACGTATAATGGTTAATGGTTAATGGTTATGGTTAAAAGCAAGATAAATGTGCTAGACATCTAAGGTCATGTAGCACTATAGTTAATGTTAGTGAAGGGTGGTTGAGTTAGTGATTAGTTGTCTAAGCTGGGCAAAGGAATTGGTGAGTGAAAGGGTTAAGGTCGGGTGTGGTAAGGAGTTAGATTAGATGAGGGATATGTATGTCTTTGAGGAAAGAGAACAGGTTGAAGCAGAAAGTCTGGGATTCTGTAAGGATGTCTGATAGGTTGGGAGGTCGGTGAAGTTAGGATAGGTGGGGGAAAGCAGAAGTACGGGCTGCTTCAGGATGTGTGGGATTGAAAGGGGAACATTACATAAGGAACATAGGGGTGGATCAGATTGTGACATCAGATAGGAGTGTGTTAGACGGGTGTGGCCAATGCGTAAGCAGGCGAGAGCGACCTCCCAACGTCTGTTCAGATGAAATGGAGCTGACCAGGAGGAGATTGATAGTTTTACAGAATGTAATTTATTAGTGCGGAGACTTGACCAAAAAGATTGCCATCGATTATACAAGAAGGTCTTAAAGTGTGGGTAATAATCCGTGGCTGGGATACATGAGAAGCGTGGTTGGTATAATGTGGACATAGCAGCGTGTCGTGCTAGTGTATCTGCCTGTTCATTGCTGGGGATTCTAACATGGCCTAGCACCCAGCAAAATTTGATTGTTTTATGGCTTGTGGACAGGTAGAACAACCAGTTCTGGATCTTACAAAGAAGGGGGTTGGTGGTGTGTATTGACTTATGAGAGTTAATGAGTTACGGGAGTCAGTAAAAATTGTAAAAGAGGAAGAGGAGAGTGAGTATATGTGTTTTAGGGCAAAAAGGAGTGCATACAGTTCTGTAGTAAGGACACTGGATTCAGGAGGGAGGGAGTATTTGAAAGTACGAGTTGGGAAGATTACTGCAAAACCAGCACCGGAGATGGATTTGGAGCCATCAGTATATACGTGAATACTAGAGGAATGAGTGGAGACATGGTCAAGGAAATGGGTGAGAAGGACAGCAGGAGGAATATTTGATTTTGGAGGGTCGGGGAAAACAGAAGAGCAAATATGGGGGTGAGGTATAAGTCATGGAGGGACAGAATGGACGGAGAACGGGAGAGGTTGGAGATGGGGGAAAGGGGAATGGGAGAGGAGGGTATCCATGCGAGTGGAGAAAGGAGTAGGTAAACGTGGAGAAGAAGCTAAGGTAGGAAGTAGGGATTGTGGGATAGTTAGTTTAGTGAGGGAAAGTTGGTGGAATCGAGCATAACATCGGAGAGAGAGAAGGGCATGGCGTCGAGATAGAGATGGTATGCCTGATTCAGTGTACAGGCTCTCAACTGGAGAGGAGTGGAAGGCGCCTAGTGCTAAGCAAAGACCACAGAGATGGATTGTATCAAGATGGGCAAGGAGAGAAGTTGAGGCACAGGAGTAGATATGGCATCCATAATCAAGAGTGGAGAGAATCAAAGTAACATGAAGATGAAGGAGAGTTTTGCAATCTGAGCCCCATGATATATGGGATAGAGTTTTTAAGATTCGAAGATGGAGGAGAGCTTTTTCTTTAATGTGTAGAATATGGTCTCGCCATATAGGAATTTGCCAGAGGAATTGTATTGGAGTGGAGTGCCATATAAGAAGAGTGGAGGTAGGGGACCTACACGTGTGCGAGAGAAAAGGATGGAGAAAGATTTAGAGGTAGAAAAGCGGAAGCCATGGTTTGTGGCCCAGGAAGATACTGATGAGATTGCAATATCATTAACAGCAAGAAGGAATAAAGTGGTACTGAGCACACTGCCTTGTGGGACACCTTTGATTTGAGGAAAGAAAGATGATGTGGCAGAGGCAATTTTGACCTGGAAAGTGCATTGGGAGAGTAAAGACTTTATGAAGACACCTATGTTTCCATGTATGCCTAGAGAGGACAATTGCTGGAGAATATGGTACCACCATGTCGTATCATATGCTTTTTCTAGATCAAAAAATATAGCTATAGAAGATTGTGAGATTCAAGATACCACATTAAGCAGAAGTTCACCATTCACTCTAATAGTTTGCACAAGCAGCTAGTTAGTGCGATGGGGCGATAGTCTTGAGGGAGGGTACCCGATTTATTAGGTTTTAGGAAGGGAAGGATAAGAGCTTCTCGCCAATTAGAAGAAAAATTTCCTGATGTCCATAAGTGGTTGTAAATTTTTAATAGGAAGGATAATGAGGAAGATGGAAGTTGCCGGAGCATACGGTAGTGAATACCGTCAGGGCCTTCATGAGTGTTGCGGCATGATTGTAGGGCAGATTGAGTTCAGAGGAAGAAAATGGAGCATTATAGGACTCAGTGGAGGATGGGGTGAAGGTAATGGGGGTGCGTTCTCAGATGGTCTTAATAGAAGAGAAGTGTGGAGAAAGGTGAAAACCACTACTGACCTGGCTGAAATATTCACCCAGTTAATTAGTGACTTGGAGAAGATCAGAAATGAGGTTATCTCAAATATGGAGGACGGGGGCAGGATGGGGGGGATGTTTGCCTGATAGCTTATGGATTCGGCGCCAAACATTTGAGATAGATGTAGAGGATGTAATTGATGAAACATAATTTTGCCAGCTATTTGTTTTACTATTCCGGATTGTACGACGAAGACAGGCAGGTGCTCTTTTAAAGAAGATAAGGGCTGATAATTGATTTGGAGTACCTCTCTTGTGGCAGTAACTATTCCAGGCTGTATATTTTAAGCGAAGTGCTTTAGTGCAATCAGAATTCCACCATGGAACACATTTGGAGGTAGAGGCTCCACATGTACTCAGCCGGCAAGGAGTCTATCAGTAGGCCCTAGTTACCGACCCTGATTTTCCCATTCATTGAATTGGTGGGAAAATTAATACCATTGCTATCGATACTGTTATTATTGTTACTGATGTTGTGATTATTAAATAGCCATTAGAATATTTTAGATAATGAAATGATACAAAAATCCCTTTCCTAAAGTGAAGGAAAAGGGCAAACAGGTGAAATAGGTAGTTCTTGATAACTGGCTATTTGGTGATTAAGAACTTGTGGAACCATCTATGTGTAAATACAATCAATAAATGTGTCTCAAAGTGGGTATGGCATCTATCCTTGCCACATGTGGCGAATGGGTTAATAAGGGAGGATGGGGGTAGTTGATGTTGGAGGTTGAGGGGGTAGAGGTGTTGAAATTGAGCATGTTGGGAGAGTGGAAATGTCTCTTGGGGGTTGATTGTTGGCTACTGTACTGGTAGGTATTGATGAGGGGGTAGTTGTTGCAGTGTTCGGAGCTGTGGTCAAAGGAGAGCCTGGGGTCAGGGAATCGGGAGGGTTTGCATTGTTGGGGCTATTTGATAAAGGGGCAAGCCTCGTTGTCCCTCATAGTGGGATTATGTTTTCATTATTGGCCATGGTAAGCCTGGATTATGTTGGGGATAAAAACAGTCCACCCCTCAGGGTCCCCTTAAGGGGTAAGGGCTAGGTAACTAAATCAGGGGAATACCATGCCCATGGCTCCCTCAGGCCTTTCAGGACTGGCACAAAGTCAGCCTTTCATCCTTTCAGCACGGCTCTCACACCTTAGGAGGTGGATAGTAGAAGGGTTTGGTGAAGGGACAGAAATGAAAAAGTAGGAAGGGGAAAAAAAGACCATGCAAAATTAGTTGAGTCGAGGGCTGAGTCCCAAGGTTAGGAAGTTCCCCATCATTGGGTCCCCCTTGACAACAACGGGCAAGGGATTGGGGGGGATCAGTACGTATAACACTAGTGCAAAATAGTCTCATGCAATGCAAAATGTATTATATGTTTAACCTCTTCCTACACCTAATAGTACATATGAAATTACAAGTATATGGAATTAAATGCCAGATTTCCATGCATCAACTCCAATTTCTCTAATATACCAGGTCACCACACAGCCATAATTATTGCTTTGGTCTCCAACCTCAGGAACAACTCACCAAAGTCAAGCACATGAAGATCATTATGGTCCTTAAGACGTCGGTCAGTCTGTTCCTCTCCATTTGGATCCTCCTCAGGTATCTCATCGTAATTCTCTTTTGGACTGGAAAAGGAGAGAGTAAATATCATTTTTAATATTCAAGTATACTTTTAAATAATACATTTGTTGTCAATATTCAAGTATATCTTTAAATAGTATATTTGTTGTCAATATTCAAGTATACTTTCAAAGAACTCTTTCTATGTATATATCTTTGATGACCACCTTGTGCCTCCAAAGAGAAACATTTTGGATCCTACAACGCAGCAGGATTGTCTCCTCCGGGGGCATGGGCCTTGTCCCAGTGGTTTCACCCCTTCCCATACATGTAAAACTGTAAACATAATTTCTAATATCAATCATAATCCTAAGGATCTACTTAATATATAGGGAACAAGGCTGTTATTCGTCATTTTAGGAAATACTTAACAGTTATAAAAATACTATTCCATACTTCTTACCTGGGTCAAATCTGTGCAGGTCATTGAAATGCAAACACTTTCTACTATTAAAGCCACCGAAGACGTATATTTGCCCTTTATAAACAACTGAAACAAAAATAATAATAAATAAAAATTCTGGTTGGATACCTTTAGCATTCTCAATATCTATCATAATCCTATATAAATACGAAATACATAAGCCCATTACAGTTCTACATTTGCTACACAGTGTATCCACAAACTATGCTGCCTTCAGGCTTTTGAATAAAATCCTCTTTGGATTAATACATTTCCATACTTTAATAACAAACTTAAGTTAGAATTCTAAGTATTTACATCTCTGAAGTATTAATTCCCTCAGTGTGTTGTATTTGGCTTCTAATATGTGGAATTGTTATTCAGGGTACATATTTTTCTCCTTTGAACATAACTGCTGCATCACTGAATGTAATTGTGATTCCCTAATTTCATCATGGGCACACACACGGTAGTAAAAGATTAGTCAGTGAAGTAATTAAACAAGAAAAGATTTCTGACATCATCAACATATTTTTGCTTACTGCTTAGTATCAAGAAGGAATATAACTGATGTGCAATTTCTGGAGTATACCATTACCTTGTGTAAAATTCTGTCACCTTTTTTTTTCAGAGGGACAATCTGCATGAAAACTGCATGAAGATAACTTAAACATTTCACCATCACATAAATACTACAAGTTCAAGACCAGAATGAACAAAATGGATAAATTTCTTTTCAAAGAAAAATAATTTTCTTAAACTCTGCAGATAATTCCCTGAACCAGTCAACAACTTTTATTATAATACTAATGTCATAACTACTTATCATATATCAAATTTCACACAAGGAATGATAGGCTAAATATAAAATGAGAAAAAAATACTGCTGGTCTGTCTTCTGCAAAAGGGTCTCAAAATGAAAATTAAGTTTTGTTAGAAAGAGGTCAATTTTATCTTTGACTAATCAAAATATTTGAATCAATTTGGCTTTAATATGCAGGCAAAGTATGGGGGAAAAATTATATTCTATAGTATGCAAAATGTGAAGGTCATGGGGCAGAGATCTTTAAGCTGTTGGTGTAAAAAAGAAAGAAAGAAAAAAAAAGTATATAAATAACATGAAACTTACATCTTAAGCTCTTTAACTACAGATACTATTACTCCTAAATATTATTTACAATTCTTAAAAAAACAAATGATATAAGACTTAGTAAAAAAAATTAATAAATAAAATAATAATAATAATAATAATAATAAAAAAATCAAATCATGTAAGCAGCTCCCAAATTTATCTTTTGTACAAACCAGGTGTATTTCCTTCGCTATAACTTCATCCAAAAAGCATCCAATTCGAATTTTTCTTTCAAAATACACAAAAAACGTAAAAAATGAAAACTCAATATACAAACATGCTGAATGAGATCTTCTGCCTATGGGTATCATGCCAGAACAAGGTATAATGCTCCAGCGGTTTGTGACAGTGTCCAGGGCATACAGATCAGCTCCGTATTCTTCGTGTTCGGGCGAGTCGTACCATCCGCTAGCTACCTCTCTGCCGCCCCACACATACATGATGCCATCAACACCAGTCGCGGTGTGGAAGTCTCTGTATACTGGGGCTGGACCCTGGTTAAGAGGGATTACTGATTTAGTGAACCATACATATAAACAAATTTTTCTATAGGAAAATGAGTGAGAAATTTATTGAAATAAGGACTGGGTTGATAAGACTATATAGATAATAAACATATTCTAAAAGCAAAGAACGAATAGCATTTAAGATCTCCATCCTTTTAAATTTTAGTCTTTTTGTGGTTAGCATTCATTCTTTGAAATCAGATACAAGTCAATGATAATATAGCTTCTGTTATTATCTAATGCCACACCATCAGATAATAACAAGTGTTTCCTAAGTTGTCTTCTGTTTCAGGGCTATAAAGATATATAGTGCTCACATTGATTGCCAAAGCATGTTAATGCATATATGAGGACTATCAAAAATAAAAAAATGCCACTAGTGCCAAGTTCTATAATCAACAAGATAAAATGTTCATGTAGAAGGAGCCTCAGGCATACAGTCTATGCCATATTCTCTCCCACATATAAACTAAGATATACTATACTCTCTTCTACATATAAACAACCATTTTTTACCAAATGTCAAAATGAACTGAAGGGGACTGTCCAGAGAAAAGCCTGCCTTGCTCCACTCATTTGATTAAAAAAGTTGTAGATATATAGTTGATTTCTTTTACATGTTATACAGTATAAAATTGTGATTTGTCTCATATATGATTTTAAGAGGGCATCCCCCCTTTTTTTTGGAGGGGAGGCCCACCTCCCAAAAAGTAAAAGTAAAAGTAAAAGTAAAAAAAAAAAAAATCAACTTTTTTGGGGGGGACATTGCACCAGACCATTCCATAGGTTGAATTTATCCCTGAACTACCTAAAATATAGTCGTCACTTTGATCCTACTCTGGCTTTTCATTTTACGTTTACTTTTTATTTCGGACTGTCTGCCATGGCGAACTACATTTTCAATTCTTTGGCCCTGCATATATATATTTTTATGAAATTCAAAAATCGGGGCACGATACAGCCTGCACACCCAACCACCCGCAGAAGAAATGCTACATTACGGAGACGCTCGAAAATTATGAACCTGGGACAGTCCGCCGGCTTTTGAAACAAAGTACTGAAAACATGACCTTAAGATTTTGACACATTCTAAAGTTAGTTATTTCTATTATTTCTTTAATAAATTTAATGATATTAGTTAATCAGAATTATTGTTTTCAAAAGGGACCATACTTTGTAAAAGTAAGTGTGTGTGTGTGTATATAAATAAATAATTAAATAAATAAACAATTAAATAAATAATTAAATAAATAATTAAATTATTAATTAAATAAGTAATCAAATAAATAATCAAATAAATAAATAAATAAATATGTATATATAATTTTTTTTTATATATATGATAGTAGTGATTCCTGTTTTTTTTTTTTATGTGAAGAAATGGAGAACTGTGGATGGAGATATCTGTAAAAAATTATTATATGACTATGATTCTAGGTTGAATACAACATATCTGTTCAAATTCGAGAATTATGGAAGCACATGTGAAAAACTATTTTACGCTGAGAATTTCCAAAGCCACTGAGTTTTTACGCCACTCCAAAGGGGGGGCAGGTCACTGGGTGGGTTTAATTTTCAAGATGGCTGATATGTATGAAAACACACACATAAGATTAACCCTTTTAATCCTCCTCATTTAATGGGAGTAAACCCCTTTTTTTACATATAGAAAAAATATTAGTTGCCCCAGATAAAATTGTTTTCTTTATTGATATTTGTAAAAAATGCCCATTGGGCATGGAAAACCCTTACAATGTTAGCTTTCAGTCATTTGAGTGCCTTATCTTAGCAAATAAGTGAACAAAATGATCAGACGCCTGGGTGGGGTCGGTGTTTTCTATATTCATCGTACCTATGACCAACGGTAGCATCCTCAGGTTGCATAAATCATTTTGATTTTAATTTTTTTCTGTTATTAGTATAAAAGTGTTCTTTGAACATTCACTAACTCATATCTATGTGTAATGTCATTATCAAATGCCATATGCAAGATTGCAACAAGCTAAAGTCCAGACACCAGTTTTGGATCAAACAGTCCTTTGGTTGTTTCTTCATTCTTGTACGTGCAACATAGGCTAGCTACTCAATTAGACCCTTTCACGACCCCTCATTTGGGACGGTCCGCTTAAAGTCAAGAAAGGATCCAAGCAACTCTTAACACCTCAGTGAAATCAGTGAAGAATTGTCTCCTAACACAACCCCCCCCCCCCCACACACACAAAAACAGAGAAGAGAAAGAACAGGACAGAGAAAAGAAGGGCAGGAAACCAGACTTGAGAAAGAGACAATATAACATTAGATCGAGTACTTACTGTGGCCTTGATGTAGGACCAGGTCATTGTTCTTAAATTCAAAGTGTGAACGTCCTGAGTGTATGATTCTACGTATTCTAAGTAACCAGAGAAGATGTACATATGATCGTTTATAATACAGGCAGAGTGGCCATCCCTGGCCTCTGGGACATGCCCGTGGACTTTAGGAACAGACCATTCATGAGTGTCTGAAAAAGAGAATATTTTGATTAAAAATATTTGATAACTGAGCATTTTTCAATTCTGTTTCCATTAATCAAGATACATACAAAAATTATTTAATTATCTAGTCTGAACTAACTCAATGTAACTATATTTGTAAAACATCCACTATTGATAAAAATTGTAAGTCACCACAAGATGAATGTATCTGAAAAGGGTTTTACGGACAATGCTGGATTCAGAACTGCCTGTCCAACTCTGATGGATATACAAACTAATCATTTGGAACCACATTCAACCTGTCATTCAATCTGTCAAAGAAGCTAAGTGTGTATTCCATCATCTGTCCGAAATTGACAAGAATTTGAGCACAGCATTAGTCTAAGTGAACAGTCCCCTCCACTTCACTACTCATGAGTGTCAAAATGCGAGCCACCAGTATAAATAGGGGTATGGGTGTCAGATACAACAGTTAAATTTAGTATTTTCAAGAGATAGTAAAAAACAAAATGTAAACTTGAGATATCTCTGCATTACTTTAATACATCTAATACATTTATATTTTTTTGTGAGTAAAACAAAAAGGTTATAAGGGATACATAACACATTAAAAATAATATATAAAAATTACAGACTATACTATGCCAAATACTCGAAATACAAGTAGAAATATATACAAGCTAATACTACATCTACAAATGAAATCTATGGCAAACATTGGAGAGCTTCACTCAGTCCTTGGTATCATACTTCACAAAAATTCAAGTACAGAATGTAGCTTATTATCTTGGGTCTCATGAGAACTGTAATTACTTAGCAGAACTGAACTCTATGGAAGTTAGATGAAGTGATTTTCACAACTTTATCTAATCTAGAAATTACTAGTTACTATTTTAAGATATACCCATTATAATACATTATCAAGAAAGGAACACACTAGGCTTTATCTATCATTATAAGCATATGCTCATGGTCAAAAATATTTAACTACTTACTTGTATCAAAACAATAAAGAATGTTACATGCAGAAACATCATTTCTGCCACCCCATACATATACAAGATGGCCAAAGGCAACAGCTGTATGACCATATCTTTGGAACGGCACAAACTCTCGCTCTTGATTTATGTCTATGGCTCTCCATCTGTATGTCACTGGAAGAGAACACAAATATAAAAATATGTATCTATGAAAGAATGTATCTATCAACCTAAATCTGTATTCTTACTAGCACCTCTCTGTCTACACATATGAATACACAAAATAAAAAATAAAAAACAAGAAAATACACTACCCTGTCAATACCAATCATTGAAAGCAATGATCACCAGTCGTAAAACCTTTCCTATCATGGTAACTCTAAATAGCCATAGAAACCTTATTTTGACGCCACAGAAACTTTACTTTGTCAAAAACAATTGTAAAATCATACAAAATCATGTAAAATCATATAAATCCAATACAATCTAGAAAGTGTTCACTTTAGTATTATTTTACTAATGTTTATTAATAGTTTATTTTACTAATGGTATCAATATCAATGTTGTTATTATTATTATTATAGACTTAGTCTATATTCAACATTAATGTTACTGACATCACTAATATCCATATAAGAATAAAAGAAAATATTCCCAAAAATCAAGAAAAGAAAAAACAGGTGAGATAGGTAGTAATGCTAATTGGCTTGCTGGCGACTCAGTACTCATGGAGCCATCTATGTGTAAAGATAATTAATTATCTAAACTCACAGCGGGCATGGCATGTGGCTACATGCCATTCCTGAAGGCATTGGGTTACTATGTTCCCAAAATGAATTAAGTGAACTATACCATTTCATCAACTATATAAATAATCAATCAATCCTTCCAGTTCATAACTTACGGGAACATCACTGCCACAAATTATTATGTACATATAAATGATCACTTGTACACATCAATAAAAAAGAAAGAAAGAAAGAAGGAAGATTGTAAGGACTATCAAAGCTTACCTGTGTTCAATACATGGACATCCATATTTCTAATTGTGCGATAGTTTTCCCCCGTGCAGTAGCCCCCAAAGGAATATATTCTATCTCCCACAGCGACCGCAGCATGATTCACACGCTGCGGGCCTCCTTCTAGCTCCACAGTCCACAGCATAATGCCTGGAAATTTGATGAACAACATTAATATCACAAGCAAAATAAATAAATTTGAATATTAGGTTTTGGCCATATGGACAGGAATGATTAAATGTCCCTATTTGTATTCTGAAAGAGAAGCATGCTTTCTACAATTAATAAGGAGTTGTATATAAGGTAAATGTAAATACATCCCCTTTTTAACAGTCTGGATGCAGGGAAGCCAGAGGAGAGAATCTGTGCCATAAATTCTCCCAAAGCGAATGTGTTGGGATTTCAAATAGTTTTCACCTTCACTTTAAATGTAATTCTAGCAGATTCAGAAATGTCTCTTTGGGTTCTAAGATCTATAAAAAGTCTACTTCCTTTGATAAGCTATCATAAAAATCTAATACAATAAATTTCCTTCAAAATCATTAACAATATCCTATGAAATCCAGAAACAAGGTTGTTTACACTACCAGTGCCATGTACAGTAATTAATAAGCAAAACACCACAATTTAAGCAAGTAAAATAAATGGTGCTCATAAATAACTAGTTGTCGACTCACTGTCTCTATCTTCCAACAATGATAAGGAAAACAGCATCTTCCAAGCAGCCTAATATGACTATAATGAAATATTATTTCTACTTTCACTGACATAGGAATCTACACTATTTCACTATCATGAAATGGACACACTGTGTGACGTGCTACGTGAGACACATATTCTACAATAGCTTGCACCAAGATTAACCCCTTGGTGCCGGGCATGACGTGTACGTACGTGCTATGCCCACAGTGAGTACTTGTTTGATTGTTTTTACGCATAGATGGCACCGCCCGTCTCGCCCGTTTACCCGTTTCTTTGATTTACAAAATATTTTACGTTATCTTATTTTCCTGTTACTAATGTAAAAAAAACATTATAAAAATTATAATGTTTATGATAAAAATAACACCATCGATTTTCATAGCACAAGTGAAAAATACGTTTTTCCCGCCATTTAAATCAGGCGCTAGCAGAGCCATCTATCGGCAGACATTTCACGAAAAACATAGAAAGTGGGCACAATATTTTCCCCATTTTTTGTTCATTTTCCCCGGCACCATTGGGTTAAGATATAACTAGCCATATTCAGTGAAAATCTTAACTACTTTGAGAATGATTTTTTAGTGAAAATATGTATAAAGAAGTTTTCCTACTTTATATATATATATATATATATATATATATATATATATATATATATATATATATATATATATATATATATATATATATATATAATACTAATACTAATACTAATACTAATACTAATACTAATAATAATAATAATAATAATAATAATAATAACAATAACAATGACAATGACAATGACAATGACAATGACAATGACAATGACAATGACAATGACAATGACAATGACAATGACAATGACAATGACAATGACAATAACAATAACAATAACAATAACAATAATAATAATAATAATAATAATAATAATAATAACAATAACAATAACAATAACAATAACAATAACAATAACAATAACAATAACAATAATAATAATAATAATAATAATAATAACAATAACAATAACAATAATAATAACAATAACAATAATAACAATAATAAATAGATAAACAACAATAATATTGCATTGACCTAAATCTTGCTCACCCTAATGGAAAATCTATTAGGACTTTAAAATCCTTACAAATGAAATCACCTTCACCTTTTTTAAGTCTGATTTACCCAACTTCTATATCATGTATATAAATGATTTACTTAGTTCATATATTTTTTTTCTTTTTCACAAATGTTCACCAAATTGCTTTCAATTTCATCTCCCATAGGTAATATTTTGGGCAAAAATAATAGCAATATCAACAATAAGAAATGAAAGTGACTCTAAATTGTGAGGAAAATTTGGTACACTATACTAAAGTCCTCTAGAGGACAAATAGTTGTAGTTGTCGGTACAATGCAAACCTGGAGCCAAGAACAAAAATGCCACAAGTAAAGAATAACGATTGCGAACTCTGGCGAGTGTGTCCAAACT